CTTGTGGCCCAGGCTGGAGTGCAATGGCATGATCTCAGCTCACTCCAACCTCCGCGTTCCAGGTTCAAGCAATTCTCCTGTCTCAGCCTCCTGAGTAGCTGGGATTACAGGTGCCTACCACTGCACCCAGCTAATATTTGTATTTTTTTAGTAGAGACAGGATTTCACCATGTCGGCCAGGCTGGTCCTGAACTCCTGACCTCAGGTGATCCACCTGCCTCGGCCTCCCAAAGTGCTAGGATTACATGTGTGAACCAACATGCCTGGCCATATGTTGCTCTTAATAAGAGTATTCAGTGAATAAATGAAGAGGAATGATAGAATTAGAATATTACCATTTTGGAACCCCGTAAGAATTATGAGATTTAGATATTGAACATCAGTGCTGATAGCATCACAGAAATAGAGACAATCTGACATTGTTTCTGCTAATGAAGGAGTACAGTATCACCTATGAGGTAACTGTGCCATCAAAAGGTCCTAAGTCTTGTCAAACTTCTAAAACCCGTCCCCAACTTATAGGAAGAAGATAGAGGCCTATGTTTACACCTTGGAAATGTAGTGAGCAAAATTCAGAATATGGGAAACTACAGGACCAAAAACAGGTTCTTCAACCAATAAATTACAAGGGAAATTAAAAAATGATAGGAAAACCTATAGATTAAAAGAGATGTAAAAGACACGTCAATAGTTATGTTCTGTGAACTTTGTTTGGATGAGTTATTCTTTTTAGGTTGTTTAAAATTTTATCAGACAAATGGAAGTGTGTACACTGATTTTTTGATATTGAATAATTCAGTTTTTAGGTTTGGATAATGGTATTGTGGTTATGTGTAAAAGTGCCTTTTGAGATGAATATTATGTACACATGAAATGATGTAATACCAAGATTTGCTCCAAATAATATGAAGGAAGTAGATTGGGGGATACATAGGCCATGATTGGGCCTGGGGCTAATGGTCGGTGCTGGATACATGGAGATTTATTATGCTGTTCTATCTATTTTTTGATGTGTTAGAAATGCTTGTTATAAAGGTGTTTTGTTTGTTTGTTTTAGAGTTATTGAGAGATAAAAAGAAAATGGTGGTGAAAATAAATTTGAACTCTTCTTTCGATGAATTTTGCCGTAAAAGGGAAGCAGACACATAGAATACAGGGAATATATTTTATGATGTGAAGTATTATGGCATGTTTATAGGTTCACCAGAATGATCTCAAAGAGAGGAACATTGATGAAGTGGAGAGAGGATAGTTTTGTAAGCAGCGACCTTCAGTAGATGGGAAAGAGTGGAACCAGTTGAGGAAGGAAAACCACACATATGGTAGGAATTCAGATATATATTGATTGGAGAATGTGGTGGAGAGAAAAATACATATTTTTCTTTCAGTTGCGTCTGGTTCCTTGCTGAAACAGGAGTAGATTATCATCTGAATATGAGGATTATTCAATTTTTTCTTGGAATTCAGTATGGATTATGTAATATTAGATGAATGTTAATTTTCAGAAGTACAATTTTGTGGTTACAGGGTTTTAACATTTTCAGATCTCTGATTTTAATAGAATTGTCTTGGTCATAAATATTCTGTATTCTGTATAATTTTATATCAGCCAGAAGAAAAAAGGTGGGTGGGGGAGACATTATACCTCTGGAAACAGCATACCTCTGGGGAGAATTATGTGATAAGATAATTTCCTCCGTATTTTTATTTTATTTTATTTTGAGACGGGGTTTCTCCATGTTGCCCAGGCTGGTCTCGAATTCCTGGGCTTATGCAATCTGTCTGCCTTAGCCTGCCAAAGTGGTGGTATTACAGGTGTGAGCCACCATACCCTATCCCTATTTTCTTTTTAATTAAAGCTTATGCCCTGCAAATGGAAATAACACTTCTTTCATTTTGATCTAAGATGACTAATGTTTTGTTTTCACATTAGCAGTGTTTATTAGAATAAACTCTTTAATTCAGTGGAATCCAAACTAGTATTTGGCTTATTAATTTTGAACACTTGTATATTTTACATACATGTTTTAGGAGGTAGAACATTAAAATTGTCTATCATAGTGCAATCTTTTGATGTTTGGCTTAGCATTTTGTTTCAGTGTAAGTCTAGCCCATTCTGTCTTGATTAAAGTACATATGAAACATAGGCTATTCTTTCCAGTTTCAACTTCTTTGAGGTAGAACGGGAATATAAAGATACTTGTGAAGCAATCTGAGGGCAGAATCCTTGATGTTTTATGTTTTCTGTCTTTTATTATTTTCTCACACATGCCTACTTTGACAAAAATGCAATATGAATGTATAGCCAATACTTCCAAAACATCCAACTTAGTTTTCAAAGAAATGATTATCTTTAAACATTAATAATTTTAGTTGCTTGCAGCAGTAAGAACTGGAATAGGCAAATTTGGGAACAAACATGGCTGACTCTTTGGTAGCATGTAGCTCAGCTGTGTATATTATAGAGCCACCTCCTAATTGAGAATGTTCAGCATGCCAAGATCTTGATCTGGCTTGTCACTTAAGTAGGGAGCCATATATGGCCATCTCAATTTCACTTTATCAACACTGGCAATATGTTTTTGTTGTTGTTGTTGTTGGTTTGTTTTCTTTTCTTTTCTTTTCTTTTCTTTTTGGGAGATGGGGTCTTGCTCTGTTGCCAGGCTGGAGTGCAGTGGCGTGATCTTGGCTCACTGCAACCTCTGCCTTCTGTGTTCAAGCGATTCTCCTGCGTCAGCCTCCTGACTAGCTGGGATTACAGACGTCTGCCACCACACCTGGGTGATTTTTGTATTTTTAGTAGAGGTGGGGTTTCACCATGTTGGTCCGGGTCAGGCTGGTCTCAAACTCCTGACCTCAGGTGATCTGCCTGCCTCGGCCTCCCAAAGTGCTAGGATTATAGGCATGAGCCATCATGCCCAGCCATTTTTTTTTTTTTTTTTTTTAATGAAAACCTTCAAATTTTACAGAATAAATTTTACAGCCTGTTCTAATTTCATTCTTAGTGAATACAGACATTTTGTCCTAATTTGTTTATACTTTTATTTATTTTGTGTGTTGTCTGCTCACTTCCTTTATTCCGTTACCTTTTCCATTGTTTATTGTTTCTTATGCCAATTTGTATGGGTTTAAATATTTTTAAAATTTTTTAATTTTTAGAGATTGGGGTTTCATTATGTTGTCCAGGCTGGTCTTGATCTCCTGGCCTCAAATAATCCTTCCACCCCAAGTAACCCTCCTACTGCAGCCTCCCCGAGTAGTTGGGGATTACAGGTGCGAGCCATCGTGCTCAGCTTGTGTGGACTTTAATGCTGTGAACAGTAACACTTTCTCACTTTCTTATAACTGTTTTAGCCTTTCATTTGATTTTTGACTGGCTTTCCTTTTAGATTACTGGTTTTAATTTTGAATTTGCAGGTAAATCCTTTGAAATGACCATCTTTCTCTTAACCTTTGTTTTAACTTCATAACTATTATTTACTACCATTATTTAGCTAATTATGATGCTTTTATTAATGTCACTCATATCTTATTTGTCTTATTGAGGCCATAAATGGACTTTATCCCTAGAATTCTAGACAGTTGCCATAGTTTTGTATTGCTTTTTTTGGGTGGGGAGACAGAGACAGAGAGAGGGAAACAGATTTTATTGCAGTATTTTCTGTTCCGTTCATTTACCTGTCCCTGGACACATTTTACCCACACCATTTATATTATTGTTGCTTTTTAGCATCTTTTTAGTGTATACTTTTTAAAAGTAAACTTGTTGAAATATAAATACACACAAAAATAAATCATTAGTGAATTTTCACAAAGTGACCATGCCCATCTAATTAGTACAGAAATAGAGCTTTACTAGGATACCAGAAGCCCCTCCTGACTTCTTCCAGTCATTCCTCCCCACCAAGGCTAACCACTATCCTGACACCATCATATATTAATTATCATTTTTAAACTTTATAAAAATGGAATTGTACAGTATACATTGCTCTATGTCTAGTTTTGTTTATTCACCATTATGTTTGTGAGATTAGCCCTTGATGCATGTAGTTGTAGATTGTTCATTTTCGTTGCTATATAGTATTATGTTATGTTAACATGCCATCATTTATTAGCCATTCTTCCATTGATGAGCACTTGGATTCTTTCCAGTTTGGGCATATTACAAATAATGTTGCTTTAACCCTAACTCTAACCCTAATCCTAACCTTTTCCTGTTAAAAAAGTATTGAATTCTTATTGTAAAAATTTTGAGAACATACACATTTGTAAAAAACATCTGTTTGCTCAGAATTTTAATAGCCTTTTACTTAAGTATAAACCTGTCATTACACCTGGAAAATCATTGAAATATTCTTTAGGAAGTACCCAAATGGCATTATAGGGACTTTAGGGAAGATACGGGGAACCTGTGACATAGATGTGCATAGTTATGTAAACCCAAGTGAATATAAATATTTAGAGCTTCTCATTACCTTGGTTGTGAAAGGGGGTCAGAGTTCACTTACGACTATACAAAGTAGGAATTGAACTGCAGTGGAGATATCTGCAAGTGTAAATGGAGACACAATTGGAAAGATGATCGAGTATAAAGAAATCACTATTTTCTATTTATATATTCTACTGAGATAACCTAGATGTGCTTGTTTCCCATCTCTATAGGAAGTGACAAAAAGAGAATATTTAATTACCATAGTAAGGTTTAAGATTGGAGGTAGGATATCATATTCCATAATTGTTAACTAATTATGAAAATTTAATTCACAGTTAACATGAACTGTGGCTTTATTCACTGGTGAGTTAAAAATTGTTTCTCCCCTTGGGGAAGTTTAAGGTAAGAAAATAAAGATAATAGTAAATGGGGAAATTAATGAATAACAACATAATTGAGAAAAATGTTAAGAAAAAATAAGTAGCTGGGCATGGTGGCTTACAGCTGTAATCCCAGCACCATGGGAGGCTGAGGCGGGTGGACAGGAATTTGAAATCAGCCAACACTCTGAAACTCTTTCTCTACTAAAAATACAGAAATTAGCCAGGCATGGCCGTGGGCACTTGTAATAACAGCTACCTGGAAGACTAAGACATGAGAATCACTTGAACCCCGGCAGAGATTGCAATGAGCCAAGATTGCACTACTGCACTTTAGCCTGGGCAACAGACCAAGACTACATCTAAAAAAGCAAAATTAAAAAATAAATGACTAGGATAGAAAACAAATAATATATATTACATGAAGTCAGCAGGGATCATTTTTCTGATTTTTAAAATGAAACCTGGTGGATGAAAGAAACCCAACAAAGCAAACCCAAGTCAAGATTCCTGGGAGATTTGATAGCCAGTGAAAAACTCTAAGAAATGGAAAGATTGGGCCAGGTGCAGTGGATCATGACTGTAATCCCAGCACTTTGAGAGGCTGAGGTGGGCAGATCATTTGAGGTCAGGAGTTTGAGACCAGCCTGACCAACATGGAGAAACCCCATCTCTACTAAAAATATGTTAGCTAACCGTGGTGGCGCACTCCTGTAATTCCAGCTACTTGGGAGGCTGAAGCAGGAGAATCACTTGAACCTGGAAGGCGGAGGTAACAGTGAGCCAAGATTGCATGATAGGGTCATGGACAGCAAAGGGGACAGTGGCTTGAGTTGTTACCTTGTGGTAAACAGAGTCTGTGTTACTCAAGATAAAGTATTTGCTCTTTGTTCTAATTGCAAAGAGAACTTAAAAATTTTAAGTAGGGAGTCTCAAACTTTGATCTGCACCCAAATAATCTGGTCTTAAGTCATCATTTTCCTTTTAGCTTCTTTTAAATTATCTATTTTAGATATGTTGTGCTCATTTACTTCAATTGGGCTTTCTTTCTTTTTTTTTTGTCATTGATTTCTATTATAAATTTTTTTATTTGCTTATTTGTCTAGAACAGGAAAATATGCTTTGGTCTTGTTTTCTTTCAGATTTGGAATCCAGATATGACACTAAAAAGTTATTTCAAGAAAAGGATATTTATGAAATGAATTTATCTCAGTGGAAGGTAATGGAAAGAATTACCTGTGGACTTGAAGGACAAGAAAGTCCTCGTGAGGTATGTTTCAGGCAAGTGACAAAAGCCACCTCTGAAAAAATGCCCACTTACAGAAAACTCAGATCTCTTACTCTGTATCAGAAAAGTCATAATAGAGAGAAACCCTATGAATGTGGGGAATGTGGGAAGGCTTTTAGAGTACGACAACAACTTACTTTCCATCAAAGAATTCATACTGGTGAGAAACCCTATGAATGTAAAGAATGTGGAAAAGCCTTTAGGCAGTGTGCCCACCTTAGTCGACATCAGAGAATTCATACTTCTGACAAACTCTATGAATGTAAAAAATGTGGAAAGATCTTCACATGTGGCTCAGACCTTCGAGTACATCAGAGAATTCATATTGGCGAGAAGCCATATGAATGTAAAGAATGTGGGAAAGCCTTTAGAGTTAGAGGACAACTTAATCTCCATCAAAGGATCCATACTGGTGAGAAACCCTATGAATGTAAGGAATGTGGGAAGGCCTTTAGACAGTATGCACACCTTACTCGACATCAGAGACTTAACATTGCTGAGAAGTGCTATGAGTGTAAGGAATGTGGTCAGGCTTTTCTGTGTAGTACAGGCCTTCGACTACATCACAAACTTCATACTGGTGAAAAACCCTATGAATGTAAGGAGTGTGGAAAGGCCTTTAGAGTGCGGCAACAACTTACTCTCCATCAGAGAATTCACACCGGTGAGAAGCCTTATGATTGTAAGGAATGTGGGAAGACTTTCAGTCGTGGCTATCATCTAACTCTCCATCAGAGAATACATACTGGTGAGAAACCTTATGAATGTAAGGAATGTCAGAAGTTCTTTCGTCGTTACTCAGAACTTATTTCACATCAAGGTATTCACATTGGAGAGAAACCTTATGAATGTAAGGAATGTGGGAAGGCATTTAGACTGTTCTCACAGCTTACTCAACATCAGAGTATTCATTTTGGTGAGAAGCCCTATAAGTGTAAAGAATGTGAGAAGACTTTTAGACTGCTTTCACAACTTACTCAACATCAAAGTATTCATACTGGCGAAAAACCCTATGACTGTAAGGAATGTGGAAAGTCCTTTAGACTTCATTCATCACTGATTCAACATCAGAGAATTCATTCAGGTGAGAAACCATACAAATGTAAGGAATGTAAAAAAGCATTTAGACAACATTCACATCTTACTTACCATCAGCGAATTCATAATGTAACTTAATAATTATTAGAACTCTTCCATTATGAATTTTATGTTGAGCATAGGAAGTAAATTCTAGAGGAAAGGTTTTTGAATGTAGGACTCCCTTTTGCTTCATGCTCAAAACTGACTTAGGATAGGAAGTTTTATTTAAAGGAAAGAATGTGTTAATGAACATATAGAAGACTTTCATCGCCTTTGAAACTATGTTAAACTTTAGGACATTCATCCTAAAAATGAACTTTATTAAAGGAGTGAATGTGGAAAAGCTTTTGATCTTACCTATTATTATCTCCATATTCTTCCATCTGTGTAGTATACACATGGAGGTTTCCAGGAAACCACCTCATTCTGAAAATGTGTAAATGAAGGGAAAGTCATTTAGCCTGCTTTTCCTGCATGAACTGTATTTCAAGGCAACAGAAGGTAATGAGGTAAAGTTCTTTATTAGAAAATTTCAGGCTAATGAATGCAAAAAGAATAATAGAAATAGAAAATTGTATTAGAAAAGCTATTGTGAAACATATAATGAAATACTAAATCAAGAGGTTGAGACCATTCAGTGAAAGGTTGTGAACTTTACAGTGAATAGATCAGACTGACAACATCTGAACTCACTGATAACTTCACAAAAAAAGACAATAAAAATTATTTGCCTCCTAATGTGATACAGTAAGATATATACATCTTGCCAAAAATATTAAACCTGAATATAATTAAGCCTCAAGATCTAACTCCCAGTTTAGAGAAAATTCAAGAAATGGAAGAGTAAATTACATGACACAAAAAGGAACAATTAAGTCTAAAATAAGAGTAATTCTACAAGAGGGATGACCTGGTTTCCTAACCAATAAAATGGCATTTTGAGAAATAAGGTGGAACTCTTAGGTATTGACAGACTTGAGACATCAATCAAGTGCAATGAAAGAGTGGTTTTTACTTAGATCATGAGTTGAACAAACATGTAACATAAGACATATTTACAATAATTGGGAGAATGGGAATATTGACCATATTAGATAATAGGAAACTTTTTGTTATATGTGATAATAGCATTGTGATTATGTAAAAGTCTATTTGTTAGAGATAATTTCTGAAATTTATACACAGGAGATGATGTATCTGGAATGTCCTTTTCATGCAAAAGAAAAATGAGGGTGAATAACATGTTTGGCAAAATGATGGTAACCTAAGTCTTGGTTACATGGTTTTTGTTTTTGTTATTCTTTCTACTTTTGTGTATTTAAAATTTTCCTTGATGTGCTTTTAAAGATCAAGTTAGCCATGAAGTTATAACCAATTTAAGATGAATAATTTTTTTAAAAAATTTCTACATATTAAATCTTGTGGATGTTGCCAAAGCTCTACACATTGGGATTGGTTTAATTACATGATAATGACTATAATTACATGACAATGACTATAATGTATTCAGGAAGTTAAAATTGTGTGCCCACATTTTATTTAGTTCACCTCTCTATCTCTGTATTATAGTACCCATGGTACTCACTTCATATATATATATATTTTGAGACATAGTCTTGCTCTGTCACCCAGGCTGGAGTGCAGTGGCATGATCTTGGCTCACTGCAAGATCTACCTCCCAGGTTTAATCCATTCTCCTCCTTCACCCTCCCAGGTAGCTGGGATTACAGGCATGTGCCACCTTGCCTGGCTAATTTTTGTATTTTTAGTAGAGTGGGGTTTCACCATGTTGGCTAGGCTGGTCTCAAACTCCTGACCTCAGGTGATCTGCCTGCCTTGGCCTCCCAAAGTGCTGGGATTACAGGCGCAAGCCACTGTGCTCAGCCTGCACTTCATATGTTTAAAGAATGAGTAAAATAAAGCAATTACTACTGCTAAATGTGGAAATTAATGGACTAGACCTACACTGTCTAATATAATAGTTACTAGCAACATTTTGAGCACTTGAAATTAAGTTATTGAACACTGACATGTGGCTAGTCCAAATTAAAATGGTGTTAAATGTAAAACACAAGATTCTGACGACTGTTATTTAAAAAAAGTTAAATATCTCAATTTTTCATATTGAGTACATATTGAAATATTTTAGACATTGGTTCAAATAAAATATGTTAAAATGAATAGCAATATTTTTTGTTTTTTAAAAATGTGTTACAGGAAACTTTAAAATTATGTAGCTCACATATTTCTATTGTCAGCACTGGAATAAACAATAAAAAGTAGATTTTAGCCAAAGGGTTTTTTTGTGTATGTTTCTTTAGAGGATACTAACATAGTCAAGACCTTGGCAGTTTTGATCACAGAATAGAAATATGAAAGATTACACAGCTACAGCTATATTAATGATAAAAGTGACAGCTATGAATTTTTAAAGTTATAAATTGCTATACTGTATATATGTAATATGTGTGTGTATGTGTGTATAGTGTGTAGGTATGTATGTTTATACATACACTATACATTTATTTTAAAATAGTGAAAATCCAGAATTATTCTGTGGAAAAAAATATACTGAAATTGACTTCACATGCTGAAGAAAGCCTGAGTAGACCAACAAGTAAAGAAAAAATTAAGACGGCTAGGACAAGTGTGGTGACTCATGCCTGTAATCCCCCCACTTTGGGTGGCTGAGGTGTGTGGATCACCTGAGGTCGGGAGTTCAAGACTAGCCTGACCAACGTGGAGAAACCCCATCTCTACTAAAAAACAAAATTAGCCTGGTGTGGTGGCGCATGTCTATAATCCCAGGTACTCAGGAGGCTGAGGCAGGAGAATCACTTGAACCCAGGAGGTGGAGGTTGCAGTGGATATCGCACCATTGCATTCCAGCCTGGGCAACAAGAGCAGAACTCTGTGGTCCTCCCCACCAAAAAAATTAAGATGGTTAGAAGATATGCTTTCTAAAAGAATAATTTAGAATCTGACTTTTTTTTTTTAATCGGGCAGACTCCTGAGCGAGAGTAGGCTCAGAGAGAATCTGATAATCCATTTTTTTACAAGTAAAATCTTTGAAGGATAGGTAATTGCTAAATGTTTCCATCATTATTGTTCTACAAGACTAACCTAAAACTGATTATAAGAACTAGATGAGGAGGGCTGGCAAAACCAAAATCTAGAAATTTTTATATGAAAAGAAATCTAGTAATTCCAATTTCTGTGGCAAATTGTATCTAACAGTTTATTTAAGTATGGAAGAGAAAATCATTTATGTGGAATATCTTGGACCTGATCCATTTGACTTTAATTATATATTTAGACTCTAGGCATTCTACATTCAGTACATCATAATGATAGTAAAAGAGGTATGATTCAGGCCCAGTGTCATCTCAATTCTTGCTGATTTTCTTTTCTTTTTTTAGCTTTCTGTGTATTAAGAATGGAGTGAATTTTATGTATGTAAAAGTATAACCCAACACTTTAAAATTACCTTCTCAAAATTAATACAGAGTTCTTATAAATCATTATATCAGTTAGACTTCAGTGATTTCACTGTAGTCATCCATTATGAACTGTATATGCTGCTATAATTGGGAAGTCATGATGTTCAGTGTATCACATCATTATATTCCATTTCTAAAATGGACTATGCAACTTGATAGCATTTGAAACCATTTCCCAGGAAACACTAATGCTTGATGGTATTTTTAGAAAGCATTCTGTGGTTAAATGAGCATATTAAGTACTGCATATTAAAATGAATCAGTTTAAGAAAATGTAAGCTTCCTCAAATAATGAAGTAATGAGAGTTTAATTAATTTTATTTAACTTGATGTATCTGAAGCACCCTTTACCATGTAGCTTACTCTCAATGCCTGTGAGTATGTTTGGGATATGAACCCATTTTAGCAGATAACTGCTGTAACCAAAACAGCTGATGGCAAAGGTGAAAAATTCAGACCTTATGCCAGGTAGTTAGTTGTATTGGAAGATGGATGTGAGGTACGTTTCCCTGGATGTGGCATCATGTTCTAAAGTCATGTATTCTTTCTAAATTTAGAACTGTTGCTTTTCTGCAGAAATAAAAGTTTCTGAATCAGCACTATTCTGCAATGAAAATGAACAACCTATGACTAATAAATAAATCTCAAAAGCATAATGTTGGGCCAAAGAAGCCAGATGTAAAAGAGGACGTACTATATGATTATATGAAATACAAAAATTGAGAACTTTTTAATGTAGTTGGAAGTCAGGATACTGGTAGGGATGCGGGGGTAAGGGGTACATAGCAGGAGGGATAGTGATGGAAAGAGCAATGGGAGGTTTCTGTAGATGCTAGTAATGTTTTGTTGCTTGATTTGGGTGCTGATTACTCTGATGTAGTCAGTTTGTGAAAATTCATTGAGTTGTACATTTTATACTTTTCTGTATGTTTGTTGTAGTTTAAAAGATTTTTTAACTTATGAAAATAAAAACTATGAGTTCATACTGATACTTTGAGTTCAAATTTAATACCACATTATTTTTAAGTTTAATTTTATTCTTGCATCTTTTGCTTTTCCCCTGAAATTCTTGTTGATTTTTAACAATGAAATAATATATGTGCTGTGATCTATAAATAAGCAGTATAAAATACTTACAACATAATACCAGCATTACCACCAAAAATGAATGCTGAATGAAGTTTAAGATTTCTTGGCATCACTCTCTGTCCTTCAAATATCATTCACTAAGAATGTGGAGTGAAATTACTTAGTTGTAATCAACCGGATTTGGAGCTAGATTGATTTGTTTATTTTCAGTGTTCAAGGGCTGCCATTTTTATTTGATTTAATTTTATTCTTAAAGACTATATAACGTTTTTGTGATTTTAAAATTAAAACCATAAAACAAAATGTGTTCAGAGAAATGTTGCATCAGTTTGTGTCCCATACAATCTGTTCCATCAGTTCCCTCTGAAAAGCCATTTTATTACTTTTTGGTCTAACTTTCCAAGAGTTCTTTTTGAGAAGCATATTAAGTGTTCTGATGATTGTTGTATAACAAGCCACCCGAAACTTCATACCATAAGACAACCATGTTATTATGCTGATAGATTCTGTGGGTCAAAAATCCAGAGAGAACACAGCAGGGATGGTTTATCTCTACTAGATGATGTCTGGAGCCTCAGCTGGGATTATTTGAATGACTGGTCCAGGTAGGGCTGGAATATCCACTTTCAAGCTTCTTTTCTCTCATGCGTGAATTTTGGACTTGGACAACTTAAATACAAATCTTAGCTGGAACTGTCAGCAGGAACACCTACATGGTCATGGGTTTTTCACAGAATGTTTATGTATTCCAAGATGGACATCCCAGGAGTGAACATTCTAGGAGAACCAAGTGGAAGCTGGCTTTTTCTGACCTAGCTTTGGAAGTATGACAGCATCACTTCTGCATTTTAATGGTTACTAGTGAGACTTAAACCCAGCCCAAATTCAAAGGAAGGGGAATTTGAGTTCATCTCTTGATGGAAAAGTGGTAAGAACGTACTGTGGAAGACCATGTGGGTTGGGAAATATCGTTGCATCCATCTTAAAAAATACAGTCTGCCACATTTTGCCTCCTAGCTACTGTTCGCATTCTGCCCCATGAAAATACATTCATGTGCTTCCCTCAGGCTTCCAAAATTTCATCCTATTGCAGCATCAATTTGAAGTCTAGGACCTTATCTAAATCCAATCTAGCTAAATAAATAAAATGTGTGTGGAATACTACACAGCTACAAAAAAGAATAAAATATCCTTTGCAGCAACATGGAGCTGAAGGCCATTATTCTAAGCAAGTTAATACAGGAACAGAAAACCAAAACCAGCATGTTCTCACTTATAAGTGGGAGCTAAACATTGAGCATGCATGGACTTAAGGCAGGGAACAGTAGATACCAGGACTGCATAAGAGTAGAGGATGGGAGGGTGAGAATCAAAAAACTACCTCTTGGGTACTAATTACCTGGGTGATTAAATAATCTACACCAAACCCCTGCAACACACAATTTACCCATGTAACACACTTGCACATGTACCCCCTGAACCTAAAAGTTGGAAAGAAAAACAAATTAAGTCCGTGTGTGGATAAGCCTCCTTCAGTTCAGTTCCTGGAATATACTTAACTTTGAGTATGAGTCCTTTCAATCCACAATATTGTAAACTAACTTCAATCTATAGTTCTTTGACACACCCACATGCAATAATGGAACAGGTATAGAATAATAAGCATTCAGATCCAAAAGTTTTATGGGTAAAACAGTTGAAGGAAATTGCTCACCCATAACAATTCTGAAATCTGGCCAGGCGCACATAACCAGCTCCTTGATTAGAGTTCCTTGGAAATGACTTTCTATGGCTCTTCCCCTGCCATCTGATCTTTTGGTTCTGCATCACACTGAGTTTTTCTTTTCTTCATAAAAAGTAGCCCATGTTTACAACTGAGTACTACTCTCATACTTGTAGACATTTGGGAGTCCAAAGGTCTTTTTTCACTTTATAGTGTTTCTGCCCTGTACGCTCAAGCTTGTAGTACATCAAGTAGTACAATTCTCTTGAAAACTCTGTGTATCCTGTGAATTTTATTAGGGTTTATTAAATGAAACAAAAGATGTACCACAGACCGTTCTCTTTATTGTGCTCCCTAAGAGGCTGCTGTGGGAAAATGACATTCTTAGAAGCCCTGCTGTTTCACAGAAAGAATAAACCTTGGCTTCATCTTTTCCCTGAGGCTGCATTTTCATGACAGCACCGTTGATTTGTTCCCTACCCTGCCCCGCCAGGCCCTTTATAACTTTGAAAGCATTGCCAATTGCTGCTAGAGATGTATTAAAGTTCTCAGCTATAATGAGTTTCCTGTTTCTCCTTCCCCTTCTGATAGCTTTTGCTTCATGTATTTTGAAACTCTGATATATGTGGCATAGCATTTAGGATTATTATGTTTTCTTGGTGAATTGATCTTTTTATAATTTTTTTTTATAATTGCAGGCTCACTGCAGTCTCTGCCCCCTGGGTTCAAGCCATTCTACTACCTCAGCCTCTCTAGTAGCTGGGATTATAAGCGTGTGCTACCATGCCTGGCTAATTTTTATATTTTTAGTAGAGACAGGGTTTTGCCATGTTGACCAGGCTGGTCTCAAACTCCTGACCTCAAGTGATTCGCCCACCTCAAGTGTGGGAATTACAGGCGTGAGCCACTGTACCAGGCCCTTTTTATAATTTTATAATCTGTTCTGATTTTCTTTGAAACTGGCATTTTCTGATATTAGTAATGCC